CAAACTTTGCATAATTTGCTTCTTCTCTGCAGGAAATCTTCAAGAAGGTGCAGGGCATCCTGAACAAGCTGACACCACAGAAGTTCCAGACTCTGTGTCAGCAGGTTCTGGACCTGGACATCTCCTCGGAGGAGAGGCTGAAGGGGGTCATTGACCTGGTGTTTGAGAAGGCCATCACAGAGCCCAACTTCAGCGTCGCTTACGCCAACATGTGCCGGTGCCTCATTCATGTGAGTTCATTTTTTGTCTCACTATCTACATGGTCTGCTAGCCAGACTGTTTCCTGGACCGACACAGGCCAGTTCCTTGGCTTCAAGGCCAACATGCTAGCCTGGGTTCCAAACTGTTTCCAGGGCCTAGTCAAGCCAGTTTCCTGTTACAGATGTATGAAATAAGAAGTGTTTGAAAATGTTTGTTGAACATAAGAAGGAAATGATGAGCAACACTTTTCTCCGTGTTTCCGACAACAGCTGACGTTAAAAAGTGTTTAACTCTGATCCGTCTTTCACAAGCATTTCTCATTTCAAACCTATTCAACAGCAGCTAGAAAAGTTTTAGTATGATCTATAGTTTAATTTCTATACTCTGAATGGTGCAGGTAAAACTTGTCTGGTGCAGGTATTTTAAGTGTTAACAGTGCAGGTATGCAGAAAATTATATCATGCCCTGGTGTATAACTGCTAAGCAGAAGAAGATAGAACATGGAATCTTAGTTGAAATGGATTTTGAGAATTTTTTTTTTCTTGTTCAGCTGAAAGTGCCCATGAAGGACAACCCCAAACAGACCGTGAACTTCCGCAAGTTGCTGCTGAACCGTTGCCAACGAGAGTTCGAGAAGGACAAGGACGATGAGCTCAAGAAAGACGAGAGGATGAAGAAAATAGCGCAAGCCAAGAACGTAAGAATCACGCTTTCTTATTATATGCAAGAAGTTGCAATGATGAGACTTGGATTCCCCTACACTTTGTTTATAAGTGATACAGCAAGTCACTGATGCAGCTTTTTGCAAACCCTTTAAATTTCAATCCTCCATGGTTTATAACGACCGGGTAGCCAATTCAGCTTGTAGAAGCTGGTTTCCATTGGGGCCTTGCATACATTTACACAGGACAAGACATTATTACATTTAGTCAAGCAACAAAAGGTGGACAGCAAGTCAAATAAAATCTGATGCATGAAAACAAAAGCATGTCCATAAATCGAAGTCGTCATAATATTCCAATGTCAACGAATTAAGTCAGTAAATTAGACAGAAGGTACAATAAAGGTCTTTCATTCATTCATTTCTTCATTATCTTTATCTTCAGGAGGATGAGAAGAAGATGATGGAAGTAGAACTTGAACAGGAGATGACGAAAGCGCGAAGACGCTCGCTGGGGAACATCCGCTTCATCGGAGAGCTCTTCAAACTGAAGATGCTGACGGAGAACATCATGCACGACTGTGTGGTCAAACTTCTCAAGTCCAACGACGAGGAATCGCTGGAGTGTCTCTGCAGGCTCCTTACCACGATAGGCAAGGATCTCGACTTCGAGAAAGCCAAGGTGAGGGTCTTAGAGGAAGGGTAAACAAGTCGTTGCGGCCACGCCAAATGAGTTTGTTGGTTCTCAGACAATTTCTGCAAATAAACTGGCTTTTCTGAAACTATCCAGTGTCACTGACGAAAGGTAGTGGATGCTACCTGAAATGTTTGACCATTTCCAAAATCATATCCAGTTGTTTGAGTAACTGTCTTTGGTGTATCTTATTACCTGTATGTCTAGCCTTCGCCGGTGTGATTTCTTTAAAAATTCAGGAAGAGTTCAAGAAGAAAAGTGGGTGAAAAACTATTTTAAAATTTACGTACTTCCTCAAACAGTAAAGGTACAGACTTTGTACAGACTTTCCCCACTATGTTTTTGTATCAAATTTTTAATTCAACTTTTGTCGACTTGGAGAACCAGTAAATTGTATTGGCATGGCCTGTGTTTAGGTAGGTGTTTTTTTTTTTAATTTTTCCAGAATGAATGGGAGTTGTTCATTCACGCATTTTTCTGGCAAGCTCGCATGATGCAGAAAGCGATTATTTCTCACACAATGCCACACATTGCAGTATCCTACTCCATACATTAACAAGAGTTTGACAAATTTCTTTTGACATAGCTGGTAACAAAATAGTCTGTATAATATGAAATGAATTGTTGATCTTACTTTCATGTCAACTTCTCAAGTGAAAAAAAAATTATGAAGTTCAAAAGAATGAATCTCGTTGTGGCCTTGGTATTCACAAATGTTCAGTTCATGGCATGTTTTATTTTGTAGCTGTTGATTTTTGTCAGTTTTGGAAGCCAGCAAAACCGTCAGCTTTTCAAAAATCAATTTTATTAATTAAAAGTAAGTACAAGACACACTTGGAAGCCACACAGTTCAGGTAGGTGGGGAGGGGGGTTCAATCAATCCTTGCACCTCCCCCGACCCCATGAATGTCCCAAATTTTGCTGAAATTTTGATTTCCATGAATGGGTGCCTCTGTATGTTTGTGAATATCCTATTATCTCTGTTCCTCTTAGTTCGATGCTCGGCAAAAAGACTACCCACGGCGCCAGGTAAAGTACTGTCACAGATCCAACAAACCCTTCCAGTGTTAGAAATACCCATCTGCAGTTTGCAGAGAAAGTTTCAGTGTTGTTGCAGATGAAAAATTGAGGAAACCTGCAGTTTTGCAAACTGAAAAAATCAGGCTAGGAGTGTTGAAGAGCTTTTGTGTTTACTACCGACTCTTACAATACACAAGTAATTTTGCATGTATTTTTCGAAGTGCATGTTAAATGCCAAGACGCAATTTTGTTTATGCCATGGGTTTAGATCCGGAGTATTTGCAAAAGGAAGTATTTCCAAATTGCAGAAGAAAATTTTGACATTCTGCAATTTTGTAGAACACTGCAAAAAAAGTATTTCTACCACTGACTTCTGTTGTCTCCCACCATGAAAACTTTTTTTCTGGCTGTTACAGTAAGAAATCTGTTGGTTGTTCTGTTAAAGTTATTTTTGTTTTTTAGAACAAATTTTGTTTCTCTAATAGTAGTTTTGGAAGGATGTGGCATGAATGAGAGTATGTCTGTGTATATATTAACACTCTTTCACGTTGAACATGGATTTTCTAAAAGTTATGAGCACCATATACCTTTGACTCAAAGTTCATGTCTTTTGAAAGAGCACATTTTTCCTCCTTTTTTTCATTTCCTGCACTTTGTGATAGCATACATGGTTGTGACTTAAAACGTCTGTTGTAGATTTCGTATTTTCATTTTTTCTGAATTCAAAGTTATATTTAATTGCCAGCAAACGTTCTCATATCTTTTACATTTTCAAAATGTTGGTTGGTTTTTAATTTCTGTCCTGTATCACATCTTGTTTTCTAACATTAAAATTGTTGGGACATTTTGTTAAACACATTGATGTGAAATGAAAAAAAAAAAGAGGTTTAGATAGCTTCTACCAGGCTTCAGAACGGCTGGGAAGAGAAATTGGCCAAATAGACGGATAACATGCCAGGGGAGTTGGTCCGATACTCGGAGTACATTGCCACACCCAGGATTTGGCCAATTTCTACTAGCCTGAGTACCATCCTATTTGTATGCTGGGGCTCCCATACTCGCTCCCTAAGGTTCTTAGGTAGTATGGTAGCCCCGGCATACAAATAGGATGGTACTCAGGCTAAATTTCTACTCCTGCCAGCCACTTCTGAAGCCTGATAGAGGCTATTTCTAGGCCTATGATATACTGTAGAACATTAGACTGTGTACTTTGATGTTGATGTTGGTGAGACCTGTGTGTGCTGACCCTCCCGGCTCCTCCTGTGTTCTGCAGCCTCGCATGGACCAGTACTTCCAGCAGATGGACAAGATCATCAAGCAGAAGAAGACGTCTTCAAGGGTCAGGTTCATGATCCAGGACGTCTTGGAGCTCAGGATGGTCAGTCCACATTTCTTAACCTTGAAATAACCTTGAAATAAGGAAGCCTGTTGTTTTTGCTCTGTCCTTCTTTTTCAAACACATAAGGTCAATAATCTGGACCACATACATGTAAGGAAAACATTGTTTTTGCTCTGTTTCTTCTTTATTCCAAACAATTATGGTCCATGACCTGGACCAGACGTCTGTCACCATGGTAACTGGTGCTGTAGCAGACACCCTGTGGTGTTGGGTTACATTATGTAGCAAGTGGCAGGATAGAGCTAGAGGGGCTGGTCACCATGTGTTACATAGTAGTTGCATGATTGTTTGTTAGGCTAGACCAGGTGAAGGTAAACTTACTGCAAATCAGGAAGTCTGAAAGAGATGATGAGTAACGCTTTGGTCCGTGTTTCTGATAACCACTGACGATCGACAGCGTCTTCCTCTGATCTGCATGTTTTTACTTGTTTTGCCACATTTTCTCATAAAATTTTATGATCTTATAGTCAACTCATCATTTTCTCATAACATTTGATGATCTTATAGTTCTGACATGATGTTTATACAAAATAGAGCAAAGAAATAACTGTATTCTTCCATTGCCACCACAGAACAACTGGGTGCCAAGAAGAGACGACAACAACCCGAAGACCATCGACCAGATCCACAAGGAGGCAGAGCTGGAAATCCAGCAGCAGAACCTGAAACTGGCGCAGGTCAAACAGGACAGCCGGCGACAGGACAGAAGTAAGAACTGTTTCTGTTGAATTTTTTAAAAAGATCTATGTCAGCTCTCACTCAACAGTAGCAGCCTGATTGCCTGAATAGAATGCTGAGTTTACATTGAGGAAAGAATTTGTAAAGAGATTTTGTTTTCAGTGTGTGTTGTTTTTTTGTGTGTCCATAGTTATTTGAATAAAATAGAGTCATAGGAAGTGAGGGGAAAATGGCAAATCTGTAGACTGATAGGAAAGTCAAAATGGTCTCTGGCAAGATGGGAGTAAGTAACAATGGAATTTGCACAGAATCACCATCAGAAATTCACAATAATAGATAAAATAAGACATACATAACAAGTGCAAATACTGGCTTGCCCTCCAGGGCACATTAAAAACCGCCTTTTGGGGCAGCCACCTTTTGTATAAATAAAATGAAACAAAACTTCACTGAGGTTTGAAACTGTGTCCGATTTCAAAAAAAGACCCAGTCATTGAGTACACCTCTCTCAAAGTGTTTCACTGATATCCCAAGAACTAATTTGGGCTGTACCATGTTACAGGAGGAGGCGGGGGAGGAGGCAGGAACCCCCAGGCTGCTAGTACCCAGGACGGCGACGGCTGGAACACGGTTCCCGTCGGCAAGAGTGCGCGCGTCTCCATCGACCCGAACAGACTCAAGTTCTCCAAGGTGAGACCTGACATCAAGACAAAAAAACGATTCAGGAAGATCTTTTGTCTCACTCCAGAAATCAAGAGAGAGCAAAAGAAGCGTATCTTGACTTTTGTCTCACTAAAAAGTTTACAGTCAAGATGTTTACGTGGGTGATTGTGGTATTAAATGAGGAGTACTGTGGCATTGGGTGGCTGAGCTTGACTGGGTCCTCATGTCAAAGCTCTGGGTTTGTCCGGACAGAGTAGGTTGTCAGCACATGGGTGGGGAAGACTGACAATGACAGTTCAGACACAGGAAAATGGGGTTAAAAAAAAAGGTTGTTCTCTTAATGACGTGAGCCAGTCACTCTAACTATGTAGTCTTTGGCTATACTTCTGTGGGGATCACTGACACAGGTAGGCAGCAGTCAGCTAGTCTTTGCACTGCATATCTAAGCAGCTCTGCCCAGCAGGTTCACACCAGCAAGGCCACCATCTCTCTGAAGCCAATGGACACTAGATTTCACACTGAACACTTTCCTTTCCTCTGCAGCAACAGTTTGATGATGGAAACATCCAGCTGGGTCCTGGTGGCCGCCCCGGGGCGTTTGGCGGGTGGATGAAGGGCAGCAGCGGCGGGACCGGAGCCAAGTCCGCTCAGCAACAACAACAGCAACAGCAACAACAGGAGGACTCTGGCAGATCAACTCCTTCTAACAGGTGTGCTTGCAGAAATGTCATCATGATAAATTATATTTTCCTTGTGCTAAGGTCACATTTGCAAACTGGGTGCCTGGCCAGGCTGTTTGCATGAACGAAAAATGGACAATTCATATCAACAATATACACAAATAGTTGTTATGATCAGTTTTTTTTTTTTTTTCACCTTTTTTGTATTCGTTATCTTTTATATCATACTTTTTGTTCCTGGAAACTGCCTGGGGTTGTGACCTTAGTATTTTACTGCTGCAATGCTAGCAAAGAAGTTACCTATGCCTGCTGCTTAACGGTTGTTATCTTGGTCTTTTTTTTTTAAGAATTATTCCGCACTTTTTTATTCTGCTTTTGGCACTTTTTCCAAGTTGGCTGCCATAATTTTGGATATCAGGATAGCCAAGCAATCTAAAGACTTACGTGTGTTTATTTTTGAGAAGTGACAGTAGAAAATGTACAAAATCAGTGAGAAATTCATTATAATGTATAAGTGAGTGAATAATGCCGAGGGGCCATTTTACCTTGCATACATGTATCTTTTTTGGCAGTTCAGTCTAGCATACATATATAGAATAAAACAAATTCATAGCAACTTTAAATACTTCATGGCAGTGTAAAATCTTCACCAGTTTTAGACTGAAACCATGCTTGGCAGCCGTTGTAAGGACAGTTTTAGACTGTACCAGGCAGCCGTTGTAAGAAGTGCCATGTGCGTGTGTGGTGTGACGGTGTTTCCTTCCCTCCTGTTGTCTGTAGATACTCTGCACTAAGCGGTGATATGAGCTATGATGCTGCCAGGAGAAATACCAGCAGGTGGGTTTTCTTTCTGACTCTGCTTACTTTCCAGAATTCTGTCTGTCTTAAACTCCTCTTTGTATGGAGGTGCAATATTTGTTAAGTGGGAAAACTTGGTACAGTAATCACTGCAATGAAAGCTTGTCACATTTGAAAATCCTTTGAGACAATTTTGTGTTTAGTAATCACTTAGCATTGTCCTTTTCTTGTACTTTTTTTTTTATAAAACTGCTCATTTGTTTAAATGTTTAAATTTTTTTTTTTCAACTCTCCATTCTTGAACAAAAATATATGTATGGCAGCCTTTTGTAAAAAAAATTGTATCAAATTGTTTTACAAAAAGCTTAAAACCAATCCCCTTCAGATCTAACGCGAAAATGTTTTAACTTCACCCTATTCTTGAGAGGAAACATGTATATGTATAATTATGAAAAAATGTTGCACTAAATTTTTTCACAAAAAGCTTTATACCAACCTCTTTAAGATTCCCATTTAACATTAACGGTTTCCCGTTTCCAGAGGAGGCTCTGGCTCGAGAGACAACAGTAAGACGGGCCGCGGTCAGCAGCAGGCTCCCGCCATCGGCCGCAGAAACAGCCGGGACCAGGCGCGCGACGAACAGAGGTTCGCTCGAGACTCCGTCGTCGACTCGCTCAAGAGAATCGAGAGCGTCGGATCGAGAAGATCCCAGTCGGGAGAACGGCCGGAGAGACCAGAGAGGGTCAGGGAAGAACCAGAGAAGGAGAGGAGACAACAAGGTTAGAAATTTACTGTTCTTTTTAAAGATAACCCATGAAAGTAATCTCCAAGCAGATCATATGGTGGTCAGGCAGTATCCATGCATTGGTCAGAAGAGTGTCCATTAGACACTTGGGTGGCCAATGGATACTGTCTGGCTAATGGATACTACCTGGCAAATTTGATACTGTCTTTTGTGGCCACCAAAAGATCTGTTTGGAGATTACATAAAAGTTTGTCAAAGATCTTTGTTGTCTATGATGAGAATACTGTCTGATTTCACCCTAAGAAATGGGGGATGCTGACAGATATATTCTTAGGACACCTCTTGAGACAACTTTGATAAATATCGTCTTTCTCCTCTAATTACCTCTGTATGGAGATTTAGATTGTGCCCGTGTGCTTTCTTGTATTTACCTAGTTATTATTCCCTCACAGTAGGCAGTCAGACAGTGACAGGAAGTTAGTTCAAAGGTCCTAAAAACTTTAAAAATGGCTATCCCATTTCCTGCTATATCAGGGCTTGAAATTCATTTTTGGGAATATGTGCACTGGTGCACCCACAGAAAAAGTTGGGTACACAGTATTTCGAGCCCTGTATATTCGTGTCTGTTGCCTCATGTTATTAGGCAAAATTAGCAAGACATTCACAGTAACAAGTAAAGCAAGAAATTCACCACAAAACATTGTATTCCTTGTTTGTGTCACAGAGAAGTCGCGTCCATCACCCACCCCGTCCCCAGCCCCCGCGCCTGCCCCGACTCGTGAGCTGGACAGAGCCGGGATGGAGAAGAAGTCTCAGGCTATCCTGGACGAGTACCTGGGCATCAGGGATCTTAAGGTAAAGGCTTGAAAAATCTCTTCTTCACTACTGTCTTTGCAGAGTCAAAAACTGATTGTTTCTGAAACCATGTACCTGGGCATCAGGGATCTCACGGTGAGGGCTTAACTATCTACTGTTCCTCACTACATGTCTGTCTTTGCAGAGTTATAACTGGTTTCGGAAACCAGGTACCAGGGCAATCAGATGTCAAAGTGAAGTCTGCACTCTCCTGTTCTTTATACATGTCAGTCTTTGCAGTGCTGAATCACTCACTCTTGCCCTTCATACATATCGGTGCAAAAAATTAGCACATCTAACCCTCTGGAGACGGGGCCAAGGGTACACCGAGGGAGTGGTGGCCATTGCAGTCCTTAAATTACGATTGTTTCTGAATACCGTCAAATGTTGTCTATGATGAGAATACTGTCTGATGTCACCCTAATGGGGAATGCTGACAGATATATTCTTAGGACACCTCTTGAGACAACCTTAAAGTAATGTCATCGTTCTTCTGTATTTTATGTGCTTACTTTTGTTTCCATAGTTAATCCCATATAGTAGGCAGTCGGGGACTAACCCCTCCTCAAAAGGAAGTCTTCTAAGGCTTTGAAAAGGATTCTTGTCACTGATATCTCTCAAAGACAGAGGAAGGTACAGCTAAGTTTTTGGTTCCATTTAAGTTGAACTGATAAGAACATGTCTATAGAATAATTTTTTTTACCTCCAGTATGACTTTAGAAGACTGTTTGCCAATGTTTTTTCTGTCCAATTTCATTCCACAGGAGGCAATCCGGTGTGTGAAGGAACTGAGTCCTGTGTCCCTGCTGCATGTGTTGGTGGAACATTTCCTGAACCAGACCCTGGAGAGAAGTCCCCAGGCCAGGGAGGCCACCGGACACCTGCTGCATGATCTGGTCAAACAGGAGATCGTACCCGTCGAACAGTATCTCAAGGGGTGAGTGTTGACGTCTTTTTCAGAGTAGGATTTAGGTAACAAAGTACTAAGGTCACAGTTCCCAATCCAGGGCCCGGCCAGGAACAAAGAGTATGATGTAAAACAGCAAACACAAAAATTTTAGGAAAGATTGTTGTCTATGATGAGAATACTGTCTGATTTCACCCAAATGGGGGATGCTGACAGATATATTCTTAGGACACCTCTTGAGACAACGTTCTCTTCTAGTTTGTGTGTTTGCTTGCGAAGACCAAAGATGCATTGCTAGCTGTTCCCTTTATGTTTCCAGATTGGGAGGGATCCTATTTAGTCACTGATGAAAAGTAGTGGATGCTTCTTTAATGGTCTGACAGTTTTCAAAATCTATCCAGTTGCATGAGTAACTTTTTTCTTGTTCCCAGGTTGGGAGGGATCCTAGAGTTTGCAGACATCATGGCTGAAATTTTGACCTTGTCTTATCTCCTAGCATGACTAGAATGTTTCCTTGCCTCTGATGACCAAAGATGATAACTGTTCCCTGTCTGTTCCCAGGTTGGGAGGGATCCTGGAGTTTGCAGACGACATGGCGATCGACATCCCCCACATCTGGTCGTACCTGGGGGAGCTGATCGGAACTAAACATGACAACACACTAAACCTAACCATTCCCTGTCTGTTCCCAGGTTGGGAGGTATCCTGGAGTTTGCAGATGACATGGCGATCGACATCCCCCACATCTGGTCGTACCTGGGGGAGCTGATCGGACCCATGGTCCAGGACGGAAGTGTTCCGCTCACATTCCTGAAGGAGGCGTGCTCCCCGCTGCTGGCCTGCGACAAGGCCGGTCTGCTCGTCTCCGAGATTCTGCACCAAGCTGCCAAGAACATAGTGAGTTAAAACTGATAACAGACTTGGTTATAGGCATAGATATAGGTTAACTATTATCTCCGAGATTCTGCACCAAGCTGCCAAGAACATAGTGAGTACATTCAGATAGGTAGATAGTATCTATACATAGCTGCCAAGAACATAGTGAGTACACAGGCTTGGTTTTCCTTTTGTAGCCAGTGTTTTTTTCATTTATCTTTGATGGGTAGTCCCTTTAGCTGAAAAGGGCTAATTTCCAAGTAAACAGTATGAAAGGAGGTAATATGACACAAAATTTTAAAACTTAATTATACAAGTAAATCATTTTACCAACAATAGGAACTCAAAATCATAATAAAATGGTAATCAGTCGGTGGCATTTGAGATAGTCAAAGGTCGTCCAGATATAGTGCAAACTTAGGAATTACAGAGCATTTAGTAGATCTTGTTCTTACATAGAGTACATGTGTATTGGCTGCCTCAAAGTATTTCTGTAACTTCTCCCACAGGCCATGTAAACCTCTATATTTAGAACTAGCTGCCATCTAGCATTTTATTGACCATATAGGGAGAAAAAAATGAGTCAAAGATTATTTCTACATGTATATTATTCGAGTGTTGTAATGTCATTGGCTCATGCCTTCGTTGTGGTATTTTTCAGGGCCCCAAGAGAGTTGGGGAACTCTGGAAGTCTTCTGGGCTGGACTGGAAGAACTTCCTGTCTAAGAACGAAGACGTCCATGACTTTGTACAGAAAAAGGTTGGTGTCTGCTTGTTCACAAGTTGAAATAATACTGTAATTATAAATATGATTGATCATTCAACAAGAAGTTTTGAAATAACAGACATTTTGAATGCAATTTGATGTTCTTCAGTGAAGTAGAATAAAAGCTTACATTCAGTATTCTAGAACATGGAGAGTTAACCCAGGTATTGTTAGTCATGTTCAAACAAACAAAGCACCAAGGATGCATTCTAATTCCTGTTCCAGGACAAGGTTGAAAAGATATGAAATTGTTTAAATTTTGTTTCACACTTTTCAACCTTGTGCTCTTGAGTTTTTTTAGAAATTGTTTACAAATTAATAGTTTTGCATGGTTTACCACTTTGGCTCATACATTTTTAGTTGCAACTTCTTCAAATCCAAACTGAACTCTTGTCCTGTTCTTCGCCCACAGAAACTAAGCTTTACATTACAAGTCTAACCTACTGAAATCTTGTCCTTCTTTGCGTCCACAGAAACTAGGCTTTACATTAGACGAGAGCCGTGCGTTACCTAGGAAACCGGAGCCTCTGCCGATGGACAGGATACAGGGCGAGCTGGAGAGATTACTCACCAAGGACAAGGCCGACAACGAGAAGATTTTCGACTGGATCGAGGTACGGGGATTCTGCAGCAAACTTTGTGAAAACGGACAAGATTATGAATATGTATAGATCACTCCTAGACAATTCAAATAGGGCTTCTTCAGCTAACTTTGTAAAGACTGACAAGATTTTCTTTCTTAAAGTACATGACAGTAGTATAGAGTACTCAAAAGACAATTAAAACTCTGACTGATACTGGATAAATTACGGAGATTACTTCGGGACATTTCGACGTGTTGACCAGTCATGCTAGTTCATTCTAGTGATGCTAAAGAAGATTGATCACTTACAACGTTGGCACGTAGTCTCAAGTTTTATCCAGCAGCAGAGTTTGAATTGTGTATGGCTGTTGTTAACCTGGATGTCTACATTTGTAGTATATATGTGAGTTTTGTCTATCAGGTTTTATTATCATTGGACATACATGTAAGGGCTGCAGTGATGACACCACAGTTTCTGACACCTCTTTCTGATAGCTGTTCGCGCAGCATGAGATCAGATCTGTGTGACTGAAGCTGCCTACTTTCTGTATTTAGTCATATTATGACAGGTTTTTTCTCAAAAACCTTTGCTTTTGTGCAACAAATGATTCCGATGTTCTATTTCTGATCCTTGAATTTGAAACTTGAAATAGGAAAAATAATTGCCATAAAGCAGTTGCTCAATCAAAAATCATATCCAGTTGCCTGAGTAACTACTTCTTGGCACATCATTTTACCTGCATGTCTAACCTTCACTGATGTAGGAAAAAAATTGCTGTTAAGTGCTATAGTAGGCAATTTTGTTCTTTATGAGGTTATCTAGTAACACTTTTGCCCCCCTCCCTCCCCCAGGCCAGTGTAGATGAAGCCACAACAAAGGAACGAACGTTTATCCGTGCCTTGATGACAGCCGTCTGTAGAAGTGCAATCATAGGTGAGACATCGAAAACTGGTCACTTAAATAGCCTTGGGGTTTGGTTATGATATTCTGGATGGAAAGTGTACTATACAGTAACCTTCTTTATTAACTTGTTTATAAGTGCAATCATAGGTATAACTGCCCTTCGGCGTAACACACCAGCTTCTGTATCTGTATAGCCTGTATAACCGCCCTTCGGTGTAACACACCAGCTTCTGTATCTGTATAGCCGGTATAACCGCCCTTCGGTGTAACACAACAGCTTCTGTATCTGTATAGCCGGTATAACCGCCCTTCGGCGTAACACACCAGCTTCAGTGTTGTAACCTGTGTGTCTGTATTTGCAAGGTGAAGGTACCGGCCAGAGGTGCGATACCCAGGGCATCCAGAAGAGAGTGGTTCTGTTGCAGAAGTACCTGGACAACGAGAGCACCAGAGAACTGCAGGCGCTCTTCGCACTACAGGCACTCATGGTGCAACTGGACCAGCCCCCAAGTAAGTACACATTTCGCTTGCTTAGTGTCAGCATGTCGGCAGAACGTACTGCGCCTGCGCAAAACCACGATTTTTCAGTTTTCGTTGGATGTTTGGTCAACATTGCATCAGAGTTTTGCCTGTTGCAGACGATATGTTTTCCGACACAACATTTGGAAACTACAGACGGGATGTTAACCTTATATGTGCCAATACGGCCTTATATGAGACGTTCTGCCAAAGTGCTATGCACAATACATTGCGGGTTTCATGCAGGTGCAGTATGTTCTGCCAACGTGCTGCTTAGTGCATTGTAAAATCTGTGGGACTAACAGGGACAATGCAGTCTAATATGCAGTGATGACACCACAGTTTCTGACACCTCTTTCTGATAGCTGTGTTTGCAGCATGAGATCAGATCTGTGTATCTGAGTTTGCCTACTTTTTATATGATTTTCATTTTACTGAAATTGCAACAGCAATAATTGTTAAGTGAAGGAAGAGGGGTCTTCTAAAGTATATTGAGGTTAAAAATTCAGTAAGAAAACATGTACTGTTAATGGATCTGTTTTGTGTGTTATGTTCTTTGGTTGTCTTTTCATTAGTACTTAAAAATTTCTTGTTTGTTTTCCACACAGATCTGCTTAGGATGTTCTTTGACACACTTTACGATGAGGATGTAATATCAGAAGACGCGTTCTACGCGTGGGAATCGAACACGGACCCGGCGGAACAAGAGGGGAAGGGAGTCGCGCTGAAATCCGTGACCGCCTTCTTCACGTGGTTAAGAGAAGCCGAGGAGGAAGAGACAGACAGCTGAAACCCCCACATACACAGCCTCGAACTGATGCATATACATAAATCAGATTATGGAACCTGTTAAAAACGAGGCCGTGTGGAATTAAATAGGGCTGTGTTGGTTCCGACCACAAAAAGAAAAAATGCATCCATAATTTATTATATGTCTGAAAAAGGGGGGAAGAAAGAAAGAATGAATGAAAGAAAGAAAAAATGCAGTGTACGACAAATAGAAATGAAGGGAAGAAAAAAAGATAATAATGTAGCAACAAGAGGCCATAGTTCCAGCTAAACGCAGTAGATTTCTAGCGCTACTGAAAATGTTTCTTCCAAGTCTAAATGAATTCTTTTAGCTGGAAGTATGGCCTGCCTAACCATGCAGCATTGTAGTTGGAAAGGAAGAGAAGCAGAAAGAAAAAAAAATTGAATACGCCAGACATGTGCTCTGACCAGCTTTGTATATGTACATGCTCTTACAATCAAATTGACACTGAATTTTTTCGTTCTGCAGAGAATAAAGAGTAATTTATTATTGCAGAAAAAGAAGAGTAAAAAAAAATACTACCAGCAGAAGAGCGGCGCCAACATTTGTATTCAAAGAACGCAAGGTTCCGCCGCCTGCGATCGATCGATCGATGCGTTCTCTCAGAAAAACTAAGTTCTGAGAAAGTGAAATAAAACAGTTGAATCTGATGCGAAGTGGTGGTCTGAGAATCTCTGCTGTTCATGTCAGCTATTCAGAGAGCCTTGTAAGCGGGCGACAAATGTAGACTGCGACAATGACACATTTTATACGCTAATGCTGACCAACTCTGTGCTTCCTAATGACTGAATGAGAGATAAGAAAGAATGAGGTGGAAAAAAGAAGATATAGTCCACTTTTTGCAAATCCGAAGACGAAAAGAAAAGAAAGCAGCAAGCAAAGAAAGGAAAAATGATGACGAAAAACCGACTGCAATTTGTGTCTCCAACTCTCCCCGAATCCCCCCCCCCATCACATGTTGTAAAGTTTTCCTAAAGTTGTAAATAAATAAAACATGAAGCTGTAAAAAAAAAGTGGAGATGTCTTTTGCTGTTTTCTCCTTGTCTTAGGCGCCAGCCACAGAGATCTGGATGGACTTTGTAGCTCAGGTTTGGGGTTATATTTGGCGTGCTTTTAGGCTTTTTTTTATCAGGGTGTCTTTTTTTCACTGGAATTTTTTTCAGAGGTTTAGGTTGTTTGTTTTTTTTGGGCCTATTTTTAGGCTTTTTTATCAGGGTTTCTTTTTTTAATTGGATTTTTCTCTTTTTTTTCACCCAACCCTGAAGAGTATCACATTTGACTATTGGCAGGCGAATGGTTTGAAAATGTATTTATTACATACTTAATGGAAATAAGTATAAAGTAGAGTGGAATCATTACTGATCGAGGCTAACCGACATCTCGCACACTCAGTCATCCCTCAATAAGACATCTGGAGACGTTTAGTTCCCGTTTAGAACTTTTATTCACCCTGTCACACATGTTGTTTTTGTTCAGTTTCTTCTTCTACAAACACATAAGGTCAATGACCTGGCCCAGACTTCTGTCACCATGGTAACAGGTGCTGTAGCAGATACCCTTCGGTGTTGAGTTACATTGTGTTAATTAAAAAAAAAACAATGAAGCGGACTGTAAGATACTTAGTGGACAAACTGACAGCTTTCTACGTGAGCTTTTAAGCTCTGCCTTGCTACTTGGTGTATCTAAGGCACACGGTTCAAAAGCGCCACCAAACGGCTAGAGTGTCATGGCAGGCCAGCCGAGTAGGAGAAGGGAGGTTAAAGTTTAAACTTAATTTTGCCCTGATCACCTCACCTCACCAGTCCCACTAGCTGTCACGTATCAACTGTAGGGGCAATGTGGCTTTCACCTGTCTTTCGTGGTAGGGGCGGGTTGTCCTCGGGGCTGTAGGACCTCTTCCCCGCCCGCCTCAGCTAGGTTTCCCGGTGGGTATTTCACGAGAGATTGATTAGCTCTAGCACGTAAGACTGTTGGGGCAAATCAAACCCCCAAGCATACCATCTCTAGTAGCGTATCACTCCTGCCGGAGCGGCTATTGCACTGGGCGGGGGGAAGCTATTAGAGCCCTGAAGACACAGCCTGCTTACATTAAGTATATAGTCAAACCCAAGCTGAATTCATAAGTTTTGTCTAACAATATATATAGTATCAGTCGCATTGAGTCTGTGAAAACCCCTTCAGCAGCACCACGCCCGTTTCGTTTATGTCTTTCTCAGGAGTCAGCGACAAAGTCCTGAGGTAAATCCTTTCGTTGATGTACGAGTGGTAGATGAAGTGTTTGGGCACCAAAGCCTTTTCATCGTAGTAGTACCTGAGTCTGGTGCGGTCCTTGTTGGAGGGAACGATCTCGTAGACACGGACCCAGTCGCAGAGGTGCAGCATCATCACAACACCTGCAAAACAGCACAGAATTACATCCAGAACCGTCAATGTTGCATCCAGAACCAACCGCGATTTATCCAGAACTATGCTCAGGCAAATCTACGTTCTTGGATATGTGGAGACTATCCAGAACCGTGTCTAGATAGTCACGGTTCTGGATACATAGGATACAATATCCAGAACCGTGCCTGATCCTAACCCTAACCCATTCAGGAATAGAACTAGACAGGCACGGTTCTGGATACGATAGTCACCACAAAAATCAGTTTTCAGTCCCTGACGAAAAGTAGTGGATGCTACTTAAAACGTCTGATAGTTTTCAAAATCTATCCAGTAGCTTGAGTAATCGTATTTCCTTGTGTATCTCATCATTACCTGGATGTCTAACGCTCATCGACGGAGAACAATACCTTATTTGTTGAAGATCGACAGTGCAATGCCATGATGTTACCGGTTACCGTTGCGTGATGTTTTGAGCCACTGTCATTTCAGATCGATACATTCAAATTACTGAGTAATATACAAATTTGCATTTCTAATTTCTTAACAATAATCACTGTAGTGTACATATACATTTCAAAAACTGGCAGCTTAATGAGATGCATATTTTATACCATGCGCATAAGTGATGGGGTTGAGTACAAGTTGCTACTGTAAAACGTAACGAAACTGCCTCACCAAACATGCCCGAACTTGGACTCATAATTGTCTTGTTACACATTCCTGTAGTGGTGCAGAACCACCTCAGTTCCGTCCTTATATCATTTCCTAAGTCAGGTCTCTGTATGAAATGCAAATCCCTTTCTGGATACATTTTCCTGTATTTGACCAAGTTGTTAAAAACGTGGAACTGGTCGTGTTTGGTGTCGATCTTTTCTCCTTTCACACTGATGGCGTCCATGTTCCTAACAACTATGGCTTCATGTCTGAACATGTTGCTGTTTTTGCTCCAGAAATCCTTCTTGAAGTACCGTCCCGGAATCTGTGTGTTGACGAGACGAATGTCCGTCCGGTTTCCGACGAACTGCTCGAATCCCTGCGTTGGAGCGCAGTTGAATCTAAGCACGGCATCGTGGCTGTCTGGAGGAAAAAAAAATAGCTATCATGAAAGTTCAGCTGTGTTGGTAGTTACATGTTTAATTCACCCTTCATTGAACCGCGACGGGGGCCGACATCGTCTACAAGATATCTTTGACCCAGTGTTGACACCACACTTCAAAGAAGCCACGTGACAAGCCTCACTGGGTCAGTCTACTGAGGAAGACCATTTTTATTCGACCTAATCTCCACCAGACTCCTTTGCAGGCTGAAGATATAGTAGAAATCGGCCTCAAAAGAATGTAGCTGGCCAGAGGAGTTGGCTGGCCATAGAAGGTCCAATTTGTCTAGTAAATTCTTTAGGCCGATTTCCATTATTTATTTACACTCCAAGCAGGTTTTTAGGTGGCGAAAAGGACTAGTATCAAATTGGCCAGGCAGTATCCATTGGCCAGACCTTCTCTGGCTAATGGATACTGCCTTGCCACCAAATGTATCTGCTTTATTCAGCCTGCAAAGGAGTCTGGTGGAGACTAATTCAGACCTACCTATCTCCTTCCCGTACTTGTGAAGCCTGAGGCCGTGGCTACTACTGACGACTGCGCACGAGTTAAAGTGCACCAACTTCTCCAGACTCTCCTCCGGCAGTATGGTGGCGTTTCCATCTTTGGAAGCCTGTTTTCTTGTTATAGTTGAGAACGGAACGTTCTTCTTCAGTGCACACCGTATTATTTCATTGAGTGGCTTGGGTCTATAGGCAGGTGCGTAGATTATAAACACAGACCTGGTTGTTATAGAGTTGACACTCATCATCACACAAACACACAGTACAGTGCCGAGAAATGGCAGGATCTTTTTTTCCATGACACTTCCGCTGATTTCCTGTATTTCAAACCGGTCACCAACTCGCTTCAGAGCTGAAAAGATAAACAGGCTTAAAACAGAACCGAGTCACTTGGACCAAATAAGACATACAACTAGAGAAGTAACATTTGCAAAGCAAATGCATAATGTTTACCTTCGGACATGGTCTGCTCTGTTAATTCCTACTCAAACACATTCAAGTGCATTGTACTACTAGTATATGGTGACAGGGGCAGAGCATACCATGAAATTGCAACATTATGTAACCTAACACCAGTCACCATGGTGACAGACGTAAACAAATCATTGGTAAGGTCATAGGTCACTGTTTGGAGAAGAAGAAGAGGAGGAAACGAAGCAAAAACAATATGTTTTCCTTCGGTAAACATAATTACGTGTAAGTAAATGATTTAAAGGCATTCAGCGCAGTCTTTAGGGCTTGGAAACCGTATTTTTCAAAGTCAATATTCTAGTTACTTATCTACATAAGTAAATAACAGAAACCACACTGTTCCAATGTATATTGACCCTCATGGAGCAAAAATACCCCCAAAGTCTGACGGAAAATGGTTACTATACTGGAAGAGGTTTCTGCTGATATTCAGGGTACCACCCACAAAATAAACGACTCATCTTGGCTCTTGACTGTCTCATTCAGAAAATTTCCAGTTTTGCTGCCCTGAAATCGCATTGGATGTTTTTTTTAAATCGAACCGAGTCACTTGGACAAAATGAGACATACATGCGTGTAAGTAAATGATTTAAGACTAGCGTCATGAAAAGGTGTGTTGAAGCATGCCATCCACGTAAGTCTGGTAATTATGTTCTACATAATAGAAGTAGGTTACTTGGAAGTGCCGTCACCATATCTCGCCATTATATGTTAGAAAAAAACAAAAAAGATCTCTTGGAGAAAATACGGCCAGGCAGTATTTAGGTGGGTACAACTTAGCCAACTATATGGTGTCCTGTACAAAGATCTGCTTGGAGGTAAAGTTAGAGGCATCCAATGCGATTTCAGGGCAGCAAAACTGGAAAAATTCGTTCTTAAATTATGCAATCTTTGTGATAGTGACACATATTGCTTCACATTAGCACAATTGAATCAGCATTTCATACCGTTTGGGCATTGAAAACTGCAGAAACAAGCCCCAAGATGAGTCCTTTATTTTCTGGATGGTACGCTAAAAATCAGGTCAGTGGGGCAGTGCCCTCCCAGTAACCATTTCCGTCAAAATTTGGGAAATTTTTGCTCCATAAGTGTCAAAATACTTTTGGATAGTGTGGTTTCAACTCATCAGTATGTTGACAAATGACAAGAATATTTGGCTTTTAAAAATAGGGTTTCTAACCCCTAAAAAATGCACACATGGATGCCTTTAAACTATCATGTAGGATTGTTCAGAAACAGTAGAAATTAAAGACTCACCGGCACTGCTTGACTGGTCGAATGCACCGCAGAGGATTGACTCTTGTTTACCAAAGCTTCACCTAGCGACGCTGGGATCTTAGAATACCTGTGCAGTAGGGACAGATACAGATATATGTGGCAGAAAATCTATACTAAGCTGGTCACAACTAAAGATGAAGTGGGGACGTCTATTCCGGTGCTGTTCTGTGCGTTCTCCCTAGTTGCGTATAGAAGTGGTTGGACAACTAGCTACGCCTAATTTTTGGCTCAGTATTTGACCTCCATGGGGAAGACTAAGCTTTACAGCCAGGAGGTTGAATAATTTAACAATACCAGTTGTGTGTGGATAATGACTTTGATTTATAATATAATAGCCAAAGGTTCTATTTTGAGAAACACAAAGACATACTTGTCCATCTTTTGACAACTTTGAGGTCGTCTATGATGTTATTTGGGTCATTTGATGGTTTGGGTCATTTGGTGATTTGAGTATTCACGTTATTTGGGTCAACTCTTGACTTGTTGAAAGCCCTAAGGCCTAAGGAACTGGTTCGGTGAGGTGAGGTGGGTGACTAATACTCTCCAAGCAGAGGTTTGGGTTTGGGGTTATTTTTGGCGTGTTTTTTTAGACTTTTTTCTTGGGGTTTCTTTTTGCACTGGGATTTTTCTTTCACCCTGTAACAGTGGGGGGGGGGGGAGTATAGGCGCTACCAACTGATCCGGCTGAAGGGTCTAGACCTTTTCGGCCAGATCAGTTGGTAGCTGTTACAACCCAACCTCTGGATGAAAGGAAAATTCCAGTGCAAAAAGAAACCACGATAAAGTCTAAAAAAAACACGCCAAAAATAACCCCAAACCCAAACCTCAGCTTGGAGAGTAGGTGATCAGGGCAAAATAAAGTTTGAACTTTAACCTCCTACTCGGCTGGCCTGCAATGATACTCTAGCCGTTTGATGGCGCTTTTGAACCGTGTGATTATGATCCCCTCCTTTACACCTGTGCTGACTTTGACATTTCTTCCACATTGATTGAACATTTTGGGTTAAACTTTTGCTTCCACTGCCTGATAATGATTTAAGATTACGAGACTGGACATGGGTGTCTCATTGCCGTGGCAAACTGTCCGACATGGAAGTTCAGTGCACTTTAAATTGTATACCCAAGCCCAATCATGTGGCTTGGTGGGGTCGTGTGGCGTAGCGGCAGCGTGCGCGACTCGGAATTTAGAGTCCCGGGTTCGAGTCCTGACATGCCACCGATCTTGTGCCCCTGGGAAAGGCACTTTACACGGCTTTCCTCACTTAGCTCAGGTGTAAATGAGTATTGTCCTGTCATGTATTTGTCCTCTGTGTTGGTGGTGGCATTAATGCATTAATATAAGTTGAAAAAACTTGAGTGTGTCGTCACCACGTCTAGTGATTACATGTTGGAATAAAAAAAAAATCATGTGGCTGCATGTTTGTATGACATGATTTGATCAGGTGAAACTCAAGACTAGTTGTGTAATGCCAATCCGCCCACGTACCTCCTTTGACATTCACGGCAAAGTTTTTTTTCTGGAGCGTATAGAATCAGTTATTGCATTGAACAAAGGGACTGATTTCAGATAGGAGACTGAGAGACGTTCTGAAATCTAATGGCATTGAGTATTTGGCTGAATCAGTGTCCCCAGTGTACATGTTGGCTTTGTTGCACCATTAAGAAAATTCTATGATTTCTTAATGGTGAATGAGGGGAATGTCATACTTGGGACATCCGTAAGCTAATCAAAAGTTAACATACATCATGATGCATATATCATGTTAATGCAGAGGTCATTTGCATAATTAAAGAAGAAATTTACATTTACATTTACATATTTCATGGAGGTATGAAATCTCAGAATTCTTGTCTATTGATGTGAAAAGTATGCAATTCAGCCACTTTACCTGGCTGCGATGTACTTTTTAAGGATCATGTTGATCAAATAAACCAGTCATTCATTCATTCATTCATTCATTCATTCATTCATTCATGTATAATCAGCGGCATTGAGTCTGTGAAAACCCCTTCAGCAGCACCACGCCTGTTTCGTTTATGTCTTTCTCAGGAGTCAGTGACAAAGTTCTGAAGTAAGCCCTTTCTTGGCTGTACGAGTGCCAAGAAAGAGAGATATGTTTGGAGGACCACATTGCCCTTTCACTGTAGTAATACATGAGTCTGGTGTCGTCCTTGTTGGAGGGAACGATCTCGTAGACACGGACCCAGTCGCAGAGGTGCAGCATCATCACAACACCTGCAGTACAGCGCACAGTCGCATGGTTACAACAAACATTACGCCATGACATGGTCTTTACAACTCATCAACGATATCAGTAACGGCATTTGGCAAAAAGGCTACATTTTGGAGGTGAAAAGGCGAGGTAACTATCTGCCCCTCCCCCTCTGTCTTTCTAAAAAAAATCACTATCAACAACCAACATTTGGCAATATTTTCATTGTTGTTGCTCCACTGTCAGGACAGAGGGCAGTCATGTTGCTTTGCTTTTTTGGAAATACATGTAGAAACAAGAAAAAACACAAACACAAAAGGTCAACTGCAGTGACGTAGGAACCCCCCACGAAGCCCATTTTGGGCCTTGAAAATGGCCCCTCCGAAGACAACCTGCCTGCCAAAAATCGTGAACCGCGGACCATGCCTTCAAGAGTTATCGTGTATAATCTGCCAAACAGTGCCGAAACGATTTCATAGCCTTCTCGTCGAAGGCAATAAATGTACATCTCTATTCCAAGTACATGCTGGTAGATATCATGCAATTAGAAAATATGATTGCCAACAACTGTCAGTTATGAAAAATCAGACAAGGAAAAACTCCTCACCAAGCATGCCTGTAGTTGGAGGTCCTCTTAGCTTGTACTTACACATCCCTGTAGCTTTGCAGAACCGCGCCAATTCCGCTCTCATGGCATTTCCAAAACCAGGTCTCTGTATGAAAGGCAGACTCCTGTTTGGGTACCTCTTGCTACATTTGATCCAGTTGGCAAAACTGTGGAATTGGTCACGTTTGGCGTTGATTTTGTGTTCTTCCACGTTGATTGCATTCGCGTTCCTGATAACTATGGTTCCATGTGTGAACATGGGGCTGTTCTCGCTCCAGAATTCCTTCTTGCAAGTTGTTTGTGGAATTTTTGTGTTGATGAGACGAATGTCCGTCCGGTTTCCGACGAACTGCTCAAATTTGTGCGTGGGAGCGCAGTTGAACCTTAGCACGGCGTCGTGGCTATCTGAAAAAAAAAAAACTTAGTGTCGAACTGACGAAAGGTAGTGGATGCTACCTGAAACGTCTGATCGTTTCCAAAATCATATCCAGTTGCTTGAGTAACTGCTTTTTGGCGTAACAAAAAAGAAATTGTTTGAAATTCATGCTTTTCTGTCCTAAGTCCAAGCCCAGCTATATGCAGACTCACACAATATAGAAGACATCGAAGAACACTGATGAGAATATTATGTCCGTTACGCCTCATCTGTATTAACCTACTGTATCTTTTACACATTACTCCAATTGTAAGTAGAAACCATTAAGAGAATTTGCGTGGGCATAGGCTATCCTCTGGCCTACACTTAGTTAGACCCCCCTTTGCCATAGACGAAATGTTGCTATCCCTCTTTTACAGATATCTTCATGGTCTTTGCTCTGCAGAACTCACCCAACTAGTTCCACCACTCAGAACTTAGTTCCACCAGGTTCTCCACTAGCTGACACAACTTCACCGTCCAAATTCCTTGTTCGAAATCTTTTTACAGTGACAGTTTCTTCCCCCGTACGGCCAAGCTTTGGAATTTCCTCCCTGACAAGTGTTTCCCACCAACCTACAAGCTACAGGCTTTCAAATCAAACGTTCACCGCCATCTCTTGACATAGCCATGTTTCTACCACATTTCTAGTTCAATGCCGAGAAGTGGTCGTATAGGCCTTGCATTGAACCACTCCGTTAGAAAAAAAATTACGAATTTGCGACCTACCTATCTCCTGTCCGTACGTGTGAAGCCTGAGGCCGTGGCTACTACTGACGACTGCGCACGAGTTAAAGTGCACCAACTTCTCCAGACTCTCCTCCGGCAGTATGGTGGCGTTTCCATCTTTGGACGCCTGTTCTCTTGTTATAGTTGAAAACGGAACATTTTTCTCGAGCGAACACAGCAATTTTTCTCTTAATGTAGAATTACGCGGCGTTTCGTTCCTTGAACAGTTCATTACATCGCTTCCTGCTTTTGATATTGTTGAGAAATTATCGCTCTTCTTCGGTGTTATTGTTGAAAAATTATCGTTCTTCTTCGGGGTTATTGTTGAGAAATTATCGTTCTTCTTTGGTGTTATTGTTGAGAAATTATCGCTCTTCTTCGGTGTTATTGTTGAGATATTATCACTCCATATTTTCGTGGCATTGAGTGGCATGGGTCTATATGCTGCTTTTGTTATGGTTAAGAAATTATCGTTCTTCACTTGACGCCATATTTTCGTGGCATTGAGTGGCTTGGGTCCATAGGCAGGTGCGTAGTTTATAAACACAGACCTGGTCATTATAGAGTAGACACAGACCGTCACACAAACACACAGTACAGTACCCAGAAACCGCAGTATCCTTTTCTCCATGATGCTTAGTATATTCCGCTGATTTCCTGTATTTCAAACCGGTCACCAACTCGCGTGAGAGCTGAAAAAGATGATCAGGCTTAGTCATTTTGACAAAATAATACGAAGTTTATTGCAAATTCGTGCCCGGGGGCTAATTGCAAATTACAAACATAATTCTGCTCTACATGCATGCGACATTGCTACTATTTCTAAAAACACCAAGAACATTTTTACACAACTGGTGTGTTACGCCGAAGGGCGGTTATACCGGCTATACTGATACAGATATAGATACAGATACAGAACTGGCTGTGTACATTTTTGATAGGTGAGGTATTATGTATACGTAGTTTTCTGTCCCGCATATTTGACATCCATACATTAAGATCGGCTGTACACATGTGTCATATATCATTAGGAGGCTACGTGATGATACTGATTAACAGATAATAGATTTGAAACTATAAATGGCTTTACGTGCCTTCTGTGACAGCTGCTTTTTAATAATACATACACACGTGTTATGATTACATATATATGATACTACATACACACGTGCGTGTAAGTACATGATTTAAGAGGTACCTTCTACTCTCCAAGCAGAGGTTGATGGTGGAAGATCGTTTGCTTTTTATGTGTGGCCCTTTTTTCTGTCGCTGCCACCACCAACTTGGGTGGGGAAATGGTTACAGACTGGCCAGTATTTGATACTGTCTTTAGATTAGATACCTTCACGAAAAGGAATGAGGACGCTAAATGCTTGCATGCTATTAAGTTCTGACATGATAGAAGTAGGTCACAGTCTTCCCATTCTATTTCTGCTTGGAGAGCTTCTATTGAATACCACCTGGCTTTGGACAGTGTTGTTATAGTAAAACGATGAACTTTTACTCTTTGTCATTTACCATGATAAGATGACCCTAACTGGTCTTACAACTTTTGTGCAATGAACCGTATCATGAACAAAGGGCATGTTATCTTGTTGTACAAGCAGGGTCAGTGTGGCAAAACAGCAGCGTGCTCGAATCAGAACCAAGAGGTTCCGAGTTCGAATCCTGCCATGCCACCGATCTTGTGCCATAGATAAACCAAAGGCACGTTACACGACTTTCCTCGCTTCACGCAGGTGAAAATTAGAGTCGTCCTCTACTCTGAGTGGCATTGAAATAAGCTGAAAACTTGACTGTGCCGTCACCATGTCTTGTCATTACATGTTGGAATAAAATATATATATATATTAAGTACTATTTAACTGGCCAGGTAGTATCTATTTGGGTACGGGAGTCAACTGTATGGTGTCCTGTAGCCTCTACCAGGCTTAGGAAGGCGGCTGGAAAGAGTAGAAATCGGCCAAATAGAGAGATAACATGCCAAGGGAGTTGGTCTGCTGGAGAGTACAATTTGCTTCTCCAACAGACCAACTCCCCTGGCATGTTATCCTTCTATTTCGCCGATTTCTTTCCAGCCGCCTCCCGAAGCCTGGTAGAGGCTAGGTGTCCTGTACAAATATCTACCTGGATAATAAATAAATAATAAGTGAAACTATTGTGTAGCAATATTGTTGAGAAACATTAGAAAGACTCACCGCTGGCGCTGCTTAATTGGCTGGTCGGTACCTTCGAGGCCGAATTCGCCACAGAGAATCGACTACTAGTATTTTACCAATCCTTCACCCAGCGACACTGGGATCTAGTCTTAGAAAATCTGGGCAGGTGTGCCAGACATATGCGGCAGAAAATCTGTACAGAGCTGGTCACAACAAAACGGCGGAAATGGAGACGTCTACTAGTATTGCTGTTCAGCGCGTTCTCTGCAGTTGCGCAGAGGCGGTTGCCACGCCTTTGTTTTGGCGTATTTGACCTTTAAGGGGAAGGCTTATAGAGATGTTTATTATAATGAAACTTTATTGCATGTTCATTCCCCGAGGGGATAAATGCATAGATGTACAAGGTACAATGTACTAGAGAGTACTACAACAATAGTAAAAAAGAAAGTTTAATATCAGGTCTAAGGTATACAATGCTAAAAAAAAGGAAATTATATAAAGTGGTATTGATCTAAGTATCCGCTTACGTAAGCCAATTTCTGTACACTAAATATTTCATAAGCGAGACCATATCATCAATACATGAACATATTGTAACTCATATACTGTATAGATAGTAGTTTGTAGTAAGAAATGTAATAAGATAGTTTCGTATTATTGTATTATCGCCACACATTGTACAGTTCATTCATCTATTATTCATGCCCGGAGGCTAATTGCAAATTACAAACATGAAAGAAAATGGAAACAGAGTATAGAATAACTAACGTCTACATGATGAAAGGTAATCATGAAAGTTCATCTGTGTTGATAGTAATCACAGTAAAAAGTTGAACTTTTTTCCAACACACAATTGTACAGGGATCAAATTTTCTCGCGAGATTACGTTGTGAAGTGATTGGTCATTAATTATCCTGATGAAGGCGACAGTGGTCGATGAAAATTTGATCCCTGTACAATTGTGTCAAGTTCAACCTTTTACTGTGATTACTACCAACACAGATGAACTTTCATGATAATCATTCATATATTATTCATGCCCGGAGGCTAATTGCAAATTACAAACATATGAGAACATTGAAACAGATTATAGAATAACTAACGTCTACATGATGAAAGGTAGTTACCGTAAAATAACAGTCGTGCTTGGATAATGACTTATATAATATAATAGCCAAACGTTTTTACTTTGAGAAAAACAGAGAACGCGATTTTAAATAAATGAATACAGATGAGATGCGAGTATTCACATTATTTGGTAGTCTCTACCAGACCAACTACGCTGGCTATACATAGGACAATATTTGCCGGGGGAGGTTGGCCGCCTTGGGGTTTGACTGGCCGCGAAGTCTGATGGAAAGAAACTACCTTCCCGTGGCTGCCTTGGCCAATTTTACTCTCTTTTTTTGCCGAATTCTACGATCCGTATTCCCGTAGAAAGGCCTTATGGAGGCTAATTATTTGGGTGATCCTTGTTAAAAGCCACATTGCCCCTACGACACGTGAAAGCTAGTGGGACTGGCGAGGTGAGGTGAGGTGATCAGGGCACGCCTTTGTTTTGGCATATCTGTTGTATTTTTAAACGCATTTTCCTGCACTTTGAAAGGCAAAATTAGGCGTAACGAAGAATTATTCATTAACGCTTAACGCTGAATTTAGGAGGACAAATAACGTTTTACGTTGAATCAAAACGACCCATAACGCTTCACGAGGAATATACTGATAACGCTTAACGTTGAATTAGAGCTGGCCGGCAACGACTAACGGTAAATTAAAATAGCCCATAACGGTTAACGAAAAAGGGCATGCAGACCCTCCTGAAGAGTGACCTTGGAAAAATAATAGGATTCACGTAGTTACCTTTTATGTACGTAGACATGCCTTTGTGTACTTGTTGTGGAAAACATTTCAAAAGATTCTGTTCAACAAAAGCTTCAAGTCTAAGTTACTGGCTTTTTGACCAGACTGATTGTGTTATAGAACTGTTTTTGTTATGTCTCCGGGGCCTTTTTCTCCAGGACAACAGGTTAAGCTACTTAAAGGTCCTTAATTTAGATATAAACCATATATTCACCAGTCCCACGGTCGTGCATGACATTGGGAAAGTCAGTAGTGTTTGAGCTGACACCTCGTCTGGGCACTACTACAGCGGTATACTACTGCGGTATATATATATATATATA